AAGCGTTGAGTTCTTCCCTCAGAATCTGTTGTTTGTCTTTGTTTTGAGACAAATAATAGACGACATGAGAGAGCGAAGCGCTGGTCGTGTCGTAACCGGCGATGAAAAACAGTATTCCCTGAGCCGTGAGCTCTTCGGCGGTCAGTATATGATCGCAATCATTTGCAACACTGTTTACAGTACTGTCCTCTTTTTTGTCAATCATTAATTGTATAAAATCTGTTACTTTCTTATCTGTGATAATAAATGAAAATTTTACATTAATAAATTTGTTTTTAATAAATAAAATTACCATGCTACCTTTCGGGCATTGTTTACGTTCGGTCACTATTTGATTGGTGAGATTATCAAAATAATCGATGGCCTGTCTGTTCATCGGATCCAGACGTAAGAAGCGTGCGATCGGCGGCACAAGTATTGACAGTATATTACTGAGACTCGAGTCGACGGATAACATACGCCGGGCTTTGACTACAATGGGATGATTGGGATTATTAATGAACTCAACATTTATACCATAAGCGCAGGCACTGATCACATCCATCGCAAAAGCACCGAAGTGTTCCCTTATGTCCACGATTTGGCCTAAAATATAGCGATATTTTGATAGTTATATAAAATTATTAAAACTAATTTAGAAACAACATAATAAAATATATTTAATTTTTATATAATAGCTTTTATGAAACTGATATTTTAAAAGCATGTTTGTAAAAACTGTTATATTTATGTTAAATAATAATAAATAATTAGCTGAATGACTAAATTTAAGTAAAAATAATAATAAATTTAAAAACAAACCATTTTCTGCAAACTTATCTAAATTCTGGACAAACGTGTCGGCAATTCCGGCAATGCTGGCCATCATTTGGCGCAACTTTCCCGACGTAAACGCCGGACTCACTATAGCTCTGATCCGTTTCCAGCGGTCGTCCCCTCGCATGAAGAACAACATCTTCCGGAGCGGCGATTGGCCTAAATTCATGGCATATCTGTTGGGAAATATGTGAAAGTCTTTGACCATAATGTCCCGCAGGAGGTCCGCGTCGTTAACCATATTATACTATACAATATATGTATTTATGCTAATAGATTATGTTGTATATGAAAAAACAAACCGATCATAAGTACAGTGACATTGGCCTCGAGTCCGTCAAACTCCTGACTCCGGATCCGATAGATTACGTTAGAAGTGGTGTCACCGGAGATGCCGTAGTTATAGACGTGATGTGCGGCGCCGTAGTGTAGGTTCCATACATTTTGCCCAAACAGTAGCCAATTATTGGTTATTGA